GGTGTCTACTTCATCATTACCCAGATGGGCCAACAGAGCACGTCTGGTGACATGATGTACTGTCACCTGTTCCTGGTGTCCCAGCTCCCACAATTCTTGCCACATGGCCTGGCCCCACAATGGCCTATGCATAACCATCCAGTGGTTTAGGTGCCATAGGGCCATCTGGAGGGTCAACCCCCACAAAGCTAGCCCAGCTGTCTGTACAAATCACTGACAGCAATGGCTCCTTGGCAACCACCAGCTGCTTTAAGCCATTCCTGTGTCATACCAAATAGTTTCCAGCAGGTGGAGGGCTACAGCCACCCACAACGCAGGCTGCCCCCACCTGGACTCATCAGTGTACCACAGAACCTCAGCAATCAGGGCATGCCCCTCTAAAGGGACTAGTTTTCACTTGCCTGGGTGTTATGTTCTGCACCCAGGCTTCCCTGTAGGTCATGGGACCCAATGCTTCCTGTTCAACCTATAATGGGGCTATTTTTTGTTTGTTGGTTTGGTTTTTGCGGGGGCAGTTTTTGGCCAGGGCCGGGTTTGAACCTACCACCTCCAGTATATGGGGCCAGTGCCCTACTTCTTGAGCCACAGGTGCCACCCCTATAATAGGCTGAGGCTGAGGGCACTGCGCTACTCTAAACATACCCCCTCACTTCACCAAGCTGGCGTCTGTGCAGTTCCACTGCATAGCTCAGTGGTCCAGTCCTGTACCCAACTTGCAAAAGGGTACATGGTGTAGGCAGTCACTGCCCAGAAGGCCACAGAGAGCTCCAGGAGCAGAGCCCACAGGGCCTCCCTGGTCTGTGCCTTGGTCAGGTGGTGCTGCTTCCCCCACTCCTCCTCGGCCTGAGTCAGGGAGTTTCTCTCCCACACCCACTCAGCTGTGACCAGCATCTCCACCGCCTTGCAGTTCTTCTCTTGGAGGTTGCTGTTCTTCCCTTTCTGCTACTCCACAGCCCCCCTTAGCTTGGTGGCCTTTCTCTAGACATAACATCTGGGACTCCAGCTCCTTGAAGCAGATCTGCTGCTGTCAACGTCTATTTGGCTGGCCTGGGTGGCCCAGGCCTGGCCCACCTCCAGCAGGGCCTCATATAGATGGGATTCTCTCCGTGAGCTGGGAGTTCTCCACCCTCACTTCCGTGAGCTGCCCATGGAGACTACTCAGCTCCTCACATTTACTCTTCACCTCTGCTTTGGAGGACTGTGACTTGCTGTGCAGCTCGGCCACCTGCTGTTGCCACCCCTGGGCCCCCTTCCCGTCTGCCTGGAGGCCAGCACAGCTGGTTTGTGTGTGGCAGGGCTCCTGGCTGACCCCATCCAGGCACTTCCACAGGGCCTCCCCACTCTCCTTGTGAGCAGCCTGCAGCCACAGGACCTGCTTCTCTAAGGCAGCTGCCCTGGTTTCCAGAGCCTTCCCTGCTGCTGCTCCTCCATGCAGCCTCCAACTTCTCTACCAGCTCCTTACTGACTTTCTGAGTTCCCGTTGGAGCTCAGCTGGCTCTGCACTCTGCTTGCTCTCCACCTGGCCTGTGGTCTGGTTCAGGGCATTCCTCAGGATGGAGTTTTCCCGCTACAGACGCGCCACTTGAGAATTGGGGCCATTCTCTAGTTGCTCCTGAAGAATCCAGATCTTACCTGGTTGGGGGACCCTTCTGACTTCTTACCTTGACCAAGAACCCCCTCTACCTTTTTCTCTTCCAGCAAGACATCCTGTAAGCAAACGGCTCACACACCTGGCCTCTTAGCCTTCCTTAATGCTGCTTCTCCCTTCTTACTGTTTCAGGGGTTGGAACCGCTACTCTGGAGTTAGTTTTTACCATAATTCTAAGAGCAGGGTTTTGGGTTTCCCATCAACTTTCTCTCGGTCAACCCCTGTTGACAAAGGTCTACCCACATCTGAGTGCACATGACCTTCACTGGTTTCATGGCTTCCCCACTGTGTAGTGCTTTATTACTCACGCCCCGAACTCCTTTCCTTTGCCATATGGCCTCTGCCTCCCCTAGATCAGCTGTGGTGCTAGTTTCTTCATTTATTGGTCACCCTACATAAGGTGCCAATATTGCCAAGACCCAAACAGGGCAGAGTGCACTCTGCAGCACAGTGTCCCTCGTGCCAGCTGTAAAGCATTCATCATTGGACATGGCATTCTGAATGCCCAGTTCTCAAAGAACCTGTTGCAGTTCCAAATAGTTGGATGGCTAGTAACTAACAGCACCTGGTAAGTCCTCAACCTTAGTCCACACAGTACAGACTACAGCCATGACCCAGTCCAGCAAGAATTATCTTGGCTGAAGTGGCAACAATTCTGCAAGCAGCGCTGTAAGGATGGCTGTCTCAGGACAGAAGCTAATTTCTCCATCTATAAGACATCCAGGACAATGCCATATACACCTAGATCCCATAAGTGCAATATCCAATAAGTCAGAAACTCAGATTTCTGCCTAAACTGTTCCCTGGATCCACCAACTCCATTTGGGTATAGGGAGGAAAGGTAGAGTGTTCAGCCACTTCTGGGGATGCACTGCCCACCCTCCTGGGGCCCTTGGTTGTTGCATTTTTGCCTTTTCTGTTGCCACTGGCCATGCCCTAAAGCAGGATTCATTCTCCTCTTCCGAGGAGTCAACCACCACTGCCACAGGAGAGTTCAACTGATCCCATAAGTCACACTTCAGGTCCTCAAGGAGCCACCTGTCTCCTCCACAAGTTCCCGGACCTGTGTTGCCTCCCAGAACATTGCTCAGTCTCTACTTGTAGAGTTGTAAGAAATACCCAGCCCACAATCCCCACTTTTCTTCTTGAAGGCTTCTCCCACTGTGAGGAGGGTCCCTCTGACCTGTAGTGGTGTCTCATCCGCATCAGGCCACTCCTGAGGGGGCACCCAGGTGGATAACAGGTAAGACACCAAGTACCACATACTTGTTGCAGACCACCCGTCTCTATTCCCCCTCTAGTGGTACAGAAGGCTCCATACCAGTCTGTGACAAAGCCTGCCAATGATGCCAATTGTAGTGCCAATGGCTGAGGCGGCTCTCCTGGGATTCAGACAGACCAGAAAAAACCCAAGGAGCCCGAGTTAGTTACGGCATGCCCTTTATTCAGCTCACAGCAGCCAGCAAGCATCTGCCTTCATCCAGCTTATGGGGGCAAGTGAGCTAGCATAAGAAGTATCCACCTTCCACCCACAGCTGCACATGTAGGAAAGCCTTGGAGTCTTACATAGTGACTTGGAATCAAGCACTAATAAGAATGATGTCATAGAATGATGACATTAATAATGATTACTTGCGATATCATGGCACCTGCAGGTTTAATCATGGTTACATAAAATAATCTGGCACCTGCTGGCCTTCAGGTGAGAAACCCTAATTAACTCATCTTCCCCCACACAGACTGGACCCTGCAATCCCACTACTAGGCATTTACCCAAATAAAGACATTTTATCACAAGAACATTTGCACTCAAATGTTCATAGCAGCTCAGCTCCCAATCACAAAGAAGTAACCCAAGTGCCCATCAACACATGAACGGATTAATAAACTGTGGTGTATGAATACCATGTAATACTCTTCAGCCATAAAAAAACTGGAGATTTTGCACCCTTTGTAACAACCTGGATGAATTTGGAGAACATTCTCCTAAGTATCACAAGATTGAGAAAACAAAAGCATCACATGTACTCAACACCAATTTGAAACTAGGAGATTAACATTCACAGACCCATGTGTGAGAAAAACTCAATCAAATTTACTGGGGAAGGGGTTCAGTAGGTTCCTATCCAGTGGGTACAATGCATGGATACATGGCACACTCCCTGGGTGTAGGACACAGCTACAACTCAGACTTTAACCTCACATGTCTAAACCTACTGGTTTGTACCCAAATATTAATCTGAAATTTAAAAAAACAAACCCATTACACTTGGAAAGCTGTATTATTCCTAACTAGGGACTAAACAAGAACAGGCCGCCTCACCGCAACGGGTACATCACCTGTAGTGTGGAAGATGGGGGGAGGCTGGTTTCTAGCTGAAGTTCATTTTTCTTCTGTAACGGTTCCCACAATGAAGTTAATGGAGTTCTGGAAGCGGGAGGGGGGATGCGGGGGGCAGGGGAGGCCAGTTCTAAAGATGTAACAATTGATGATCCATTAACCTCAGCCTTGGAAAGCTGGACCACTTCTCCCGGTCCCCCAACAGAGCTGGGTTCAAAGCAGCTGTCGACTCTAGAGTGTGAATTACTCACTGGCGAAGAACAGGGAGAAGAGCCCAACTCCTGCACCCTCTACCTCCACGAGCCCCAGACCACAATCTTATTATCAGGACACATTTTTTTCAACATGCCAATTTAAAAGGAAAAAAACCACCTCATTTTCCCACACAAATAAGGAGAGACTTCAAGAGTTTACAAGGCAGCTAACAAAGCACAAAACACAACCAAAGAATGCAAAAGAAATTTCTGACTTCATCTGGATTCCACCTAAGCATTTTCTACCCAAGATGGGATCCGGCTAAACATAAACGGTTTACCGTATCTAAAAAAATCAATGAAAACTGAATTGAGGCTCGGCGCCTGTGGCTCAAGTGGCTAAGGCGCCAGCCACATACACCTAAGGTGGCAGATTCAAATCCAGCCCGGGCCCGCCAAACAACGATGGCTGCAACAGAAAAAAAAATAGCTGGGCATTGTGGCGGGTGCCTGTGGTCTCAGCAACTTGGGAGGC